GATTGTGAACAGAATTAACTCATTTCTGCACCTTCCCTTTCAGTTGCATACATGTTTGCATAGCAGTTGTTTCATGTCAAACGACATACAACTTTTGCTGCTTGGATGTGAATCAACACGATGTCACATGGATATAATCCTCAGGCGTCTTTGCATCAAGGAAAATGTTCATGGTAGCGGAGCCCTGTGATCCAGATCCTTTATTCTGGTGAGGGCACCTTAAGCTACCTTGGACTAGGAAACTCCCGTTGCCGTTTAGTTGAGCCATTTGGGTTCTGGTTGCATAGCCTTGCTTGGAGCATGGCTGGTGAAGGTGGCACGTTGGACGTGGCCCAGCTGATACAAGCAGCTACAGACGCTGCTCGTGCTGCTGCTGATGCGGCTGCAGCCCTTAGAGATGTTCAGGCTAGTCGTGGAACTGGTTTGAGTGGAAAGGGGTTTAGTGAAGCCTCAAAAGTCATTAGACAACCTGACCCGTTTGGTTCTGAAAACCACGAAGAAAATCTTAGCAAGTGGCAAGACTTCACAGTGAACTTCAAAGCTTGGTTGTTCTATGGTGATAGTGGTTTTGAAAGTGACCTTCATAGAGTCGAGACCAACTATGCCTCAACTCCAATAGAGTTTCCTAGATCCGAGCCCAATGACGTTCAAGAAAGATGCAAGCAGCTTTTCAACATCCTTACGGGGATACTTCGTGGCAAGCCGTTGCGGCTACTGCGCCAAACTTCTGAGAGAAATGGTTTCGAGGTTTGGAGAAAGTTGGCGCAACTCTTTTCACCAAAGACCAAAAGCAGGTCGATTTCTTTGCTTGCTGCGTTGATGAATATTCCAACCTTCAGCCTGAAGGACAAAACCCTGATGGACCAGATCTTAGGCCTTGAACGCTTGAGAACTGAGTATATGAGATCTTCTGGAACTGATGTGGCTGATGACCTGATGTTGAGCATCCTGGTCAAGTCGTTGCCAAAGGCATTGCAGACCCACATTCAGCTGCAGATGACAGAGCACTCAACGTATGCCCAGGTCAGGGAACTTGTCCTCAGCTACGAGTCAGTGACGACTACATGGAGCGCTGGTCGAATTCATAGTGAACTTGGCATTTTGCCATCCAGCTCTACGGCTTCCTCTCCTGCCTACAATGGCCCTGCCCCCATGGAAATTGACCGGTTTGAGAAAGGCAAGAAGGGCAAAGGCAAGGGAAAGCACAAAAGTAAAGACTCTTCGTTTTCCAAAGGAAAGACCAAGGGTAAGTTTGACAAAGGTAAGGGAAAGAGCAAACAAGATGTTTCAAAGCCACGTGCGGCTACCTCAAGTGATCAGTGTTTACATTGTGGTAAATATGGGCATTTCAAAAGAGACTGTTGGAAGTTGCATGGGAAGCCCACCAATACAAAGAATGTGAATCAAGTCGAAGAGACGCAAAACGCTGGAAGCTTTAGCAGTGGTGCTTCTTCAAGCGCTGCCTCAACAACTATGACCTCAGCTACTGGCTCTGTGCGTTTGCTTTCTTCATATGTTGGCCCCATCATCGAAGAACTTCCCAGCAGTGATGAGCTTGACTTCCGTGACCTTACAATGTATGACAGCTCTGGCCATTGCAACGTTGTTTCATGTGCTGAAATTTCACCCGTAGATGACTTGAACCATGTCGAGGAAGCATACATGTGCGCTTGTACTCACTTTGACATGTCATGCACTGATGATGATGGTATTTGGACGTTTTGTGACAGTTATTGCATTGACCTTTCACCTGCCAGCCATTCTTCTTTCGACTGCATTCGAGCTGTCGGCAACCTGACTGACAGCAGCGTGGAGGTGGTGATTGACTCGGGAGCTGATGGTTCAGTTCTGCCCTTAGAATATGCTGCAATAGGTCACAAAGATCCAACCTTTGACAAGTCTTCTTCTTTCATTGATGCTCAGGGCAAGCCAATATCAGTGAGGGAAGCTCGAATAGCTGAAGTGCAATTTGGTTCAGTCGTTTTCAAAGAGCGGTTTATCATAGCGCCAGTTACTTCACCACTTATTTCAATGGGTCGTCTTCTCAGAGATGGATGGTGTCTTCAAAATTCTGGTGATTCAATGTTTCTGGTGAGAAATGGCAAGAGCATTCCAGTCCACTTCAAGCGTAATTCTTTGTGTGCACATGGTGTAATCAGAATGTTGAGCAACATGGATAGCAGTCCAGTTGAACATGTCAGGGCAGTTGTTTTGGGCGAAAGCCTTGCTGGTTTACAACGTGGATGGATAAGGCTGAGTGATTCTGTTTATGGTTTGAGAAGCGTGTCACCTCAACATGTTGACACGACGTATTGCCCCAGTGAGTCATTGATGTGGCTTAGAACAAAGTTGGTGCGTTTTGCAGATGGCACCTGGGAACTGGAGGAATTTTCTCGGAGCATTTCAGACCTTTCTTCACGTGTTATTCCTTTTCAAACTGCAAAACCGGTTGTGGAGGTGATCACACTTGCGCATGATGCCATGGTACCACCAGAGGCTTTGGGTTTCAGTGTTCATGATGATGTGGTGATGCCAGCAAACTTTCCATTGAGATCATCCTCACAATCCCATTCTTCTTCCTCTGCATCAGCGCCTGCTGCTGCTGCCCCTGTCAGGCCCAACGTGGAGCCACCAGATGAGTTGCCAGCGGCTGCAGAAGAAGCTGAGTTACCAGTTGCAGAGAGACCAGATGTGGACTACAAGTCTGTGATGGTTGATGGTGTCAAGCTAGATAGCAATACTCCCCTGCGTACTTTGAGAGGTGCTTGTGAAAGCCTTGGACTCTCCAAAACTGGTGGAAAGGCAGTATGTTTGGAGCGTTTGTGGAAACATTTAGAAAGTCAAGAGCTTATTGCTGCTCATTCTGCACACCGTGATTTGCGAGGTGATGTTTCCAGACCTGTCCATGGACAACCAGTCCCTGCAGAACCAAGTGACGCTGAAAAGGCAGAGCACTATCTCACGCACTATCCCTTTGCCAAGTGGTGTGAACTTTGTGTTGCAAATCGATCACAACAAGATGGTCATTCTGAACAACATCACACTGAAACTGCACATAGCTGTATTTCTTTTGATTTCGGTTATGCAAGTAGAAGGGATGATGATGACAAGTTGTGCGCTTTATTTATTCATGACAGGAGTTCAGGGGCTATGCATGTGGTACCAACGCCACAGAAGGGAGGCCGATACCTCAACTATTTATGCACTGAATTTTGTCGTTTCATTGTTTGGTGTGGCAATGATACAATAGCACTCAAATGCGATCAAGAACCTTCAACACTTTCACTTCTTGAGGCCGTGAAGAAGACATGTAGATGTTTGGGGATCAGAGTTTTGACTGAAACGGTTGGACCCTCAAGTCATGCTTCAAATGGTGCTGCAGAAGTTACAGTAAAACTGGTAAGACAACAGGCCAATTTACTCATCCAGCAGGTCGAACAAGGTGTTGGCATAACTGATGTGATTGGATGCCAGCATCCACTCTATGCATGGGCCCTACTTCATGCGTGTTTTCTGCATAATCGGTATGTGGTTCGTCAAGGTCATACTGCTTATGAGTTGTGTGCTGACCGAGCATACACAGGACGTTTGGCTATGTTTGGAGAAACCGTTTTGGGTTTCCTGAAACAGACACACAAGGGTGCACCTCAGTGGACTAAAGGCGTGTGGTTGGGAAAGACTTTGAGCAATGACGTTCACATCATTGCCATACCTGGTGCTCAACAGTTGTTTGTCACAAGAAGCGTTAGACGCTTGCCTGCCTCAAAGGCATGGAATGGGGAGATGATTGGAGGTGTTGAGGCGTGTCCATGGCAGTTTAGTTATGCCTCTTTAGGCTCTCAACTTGTCCTTGCAAAACGTATAGCTCCTCCTACTCCATCTCCTTTGACTCCTGCACCAGTGAGAGACTTTGATGCTGAGGCAGTTATGAACTTGCCTCCAACACCAGATGAAAGACCACATGTACCACGTTTGGTTGCGCCACCACAAAGTGCTGTTGTGGCAGGTGATACAGTTGGTGATGAAACTATGGAAGTGACAGCTGAGGCGGGGGGTTCAACAGCGCTTGGAGCAGCTGTTCCACAAACCCCACATGACGTTCAACAAAGTGATCCTGCTTCAGGTTCATCTCTGGGAGATGCGCCTTTGGGAGCAGAGACGTCAGCTGTTGTCCACCCTAGAGATGGTGGAGATGAGTCAGAAAGACCTTCAAAGCACCAACGTATACTTGCTGTTTTTGAACACGAGGACCAGCCAAATGAAACGCAGTTCGACAGTGAGGACCTTGATGCGCTTGAGTCCTATGACTTTGACTTGGATGAAACTGATGACTCTAGTCATACTGATGCAGAACTTCTGGAACAGTTGTGTCTTCCTTTCTCTACTTTGGAACCTTCTCTTCCTGACCATGAGTTGTTGCGGTTGGACCTTATTGCAGACCAGTTAGAAATCAAGCGTCTCAGGAACATGGGAGTTTTGATCCCTGCCAATGAGTTTGACTTCAAGGGTGAGACGCCCAAAATGTTGACCACTAGGATGGTAAGAACTTGGCGTGACAAGACTTTGAATGGTCAAAGAGTTTGGCTTAGGAGATCAAGGTATGTTGCACGAGAGTTCGCATGGCTATCTCCAGATCGTCAAGATCTTTTCAGCCCAGCTTCTTCAGTTTTGACTGTTAGGTTGTTGCCGTGCCTCTACATGAAATGGAAACCTATGGGTTACGTGCTATGCTCAATCGACATTGGTGATGCCTTCCTTACTGTGGAGCAAAAGGAATTGACAGAAGTTGTTTGTGTTGATGCCGCAGGTGCTTCAACCACGTACGTCTTGGGACGTGTTCTACCTGGACAACGGAATGGCTCTCAGATGTGGCATGAGTCTTTTAGCAGATTCTTGCAGACCGAGCTGAAGATCTATGAGTGTGAGCCGTACCCATGCTTGCTGAAGTCACCCAATGCTGAGTGTGCTCTACTACTTCATGTTGATGATGTTTTATGCCTTGCACACCATGAATACTTGCGTAATGTGCTGGAACCTGCGTTGAGAAAGAGATACAAAATCTCTTTGGAGGTACTTGGAAAGCCTGGAGATGAGTTGACCTTCCTGAAAAGGAGGCACATGCTTTTGAGTGAATGTGAGTTGGCTATTCAAAGCCATCCCAAACACTTGGAAAAGCTTTTCGAGATGATGAAAATCAACAAAGGCCTGAAGCCGAAACAAGTGCCAGTCCACCAATTGCTGGATGAACCAGACGAAACGGAGGAATTGCCACCGGACAAGGCCAAGACTTTTAGGTCATGCATTGGCATCTTGCTTTACATTGCCAGTGACTTTGTCGAGTGCCAGTACGCAATCAGAGGGTTAGCACAGGTGATGTCAAAACCAACTGTGCAGGCCTTCATATGCCTGCGCCACCTTTGCCTGTACCTCTTGGGTTGTGTCGACCAATGCACTGTGATGACCTACAATGACCACCAAGGATTGTTGCACTACACGCCAACTGAGTACACCATGGAAGTTTATTCAGACTCAGATTGGGCAAAACATAGAAGTACACGCAAGAGCGTTTCTTCAGGTCACATATGTCTCTTTGGCAACCTCTTGTACTCCAGCTCGAGGACCCAGAAAACGATAGCACTGTCTTCAGCAGAAGCGGAAATCTATGCCGGTGTTTCAGCATGTTGTGATGGAAAACTTATGCAAGCCTGCATTCAATTTTTGTTGGATGATGGCATCAAGGTGGAGTTCACGCTGAACTTGGACAACTCTGCTGCCAAGGCCTTTTTCTTTCGCTCAGGCGTTGGGCGAATCAGACATATTAGTGTTAGAGTTCTTTGGTTACAACGCGAAGTCAAACTTGGTTTGATTGCCCCTTCAACAGTGTCAACACGAGACAACACTGCAGACCTTGGGACCAAAAGACTGAATAGGGACAGAATGCGATATCTCATGAACCTTTGCAAAGTATATGATTTATCACAATCTACATATGTTGGACAAGAAACAGTTGACAAGGTCCACCAAGCGGAAGCCATGTCAGAAGGTATCAGGTTACTCAGAAACAATGGTTTGAAAACTGGTGCAGCCAAGTCAATTATGCGAGTTCTTTTGCTTGGCGCCTTGGGTCTGCCCTGTGAAGCTATGAGCTCAGCTTCCATTGGGAATGGTGGCTATGGAACTTTCGCTACCTTTGCAGTTTATGTGACAGTCATCTGTCTGGTCGCTGGTATTTCTTTTTACCTTGGGACACAGTTTGACTTGCTGAAGGACGAATATAGGCGTCTTGTGGTCAGCCAGAACCTCAAGAAAGTTTTGAAGTTGCTCAAGCGTGCGCAGTCGCGCATGACAGGAAACCAAGAGACTGACGAGAGCGAGTCTGTTGGAGAAAATGATGAAGAAGAAATGATTGAGACGGATGCAGAAGTCGAGGCCAGATACAAATCATCAGAGCTTTGTGAAGTTTCAGATCCTGAACTGTGGATGCACTTCAATCATGGTGAATCCCCTCTCTCCTCTTCCAATGCTTCTGAGGATCAACCTACTGGCCACAGTGAAGCTTCTTTGCACCAGCAAATGGCCGAGACGAATGCTTTGCTTCTTGCTCGTGAACAAAGACTTGAAGCTGAATGGGATGAAACTGAGTTGCGCAATGATCGAGAAACTATGCATGAGATCGAAAACATGATCATCGAGACCCGCAACTTGCGCTATAGCATCTGATGTTCTCGCAATCAAAGCTTGAGTCTTGAAAAATGACGTGACAGTCCTTCAGAACTTGTCTGACGAGCATGGATGACTGAGAGAAAGTTGTATAGAAGTTTCTTTTTGAATAGACATGGAACCGAGGAATCAACTTGAGTCAGCCCTATTGCAATATGGCTTAGCTGACAGCCATTGACTCAACATGTAACAGTTTCTGCATGAAAATTTGAAACTGAGGCGGGGTGAACAGAATTAACTCATTTCTGCACCTTCCCTTTCAGTTGCATACATGTTTGCATAGCAGTTGTTCCATGTCAAACGACATACCACCTTTGCTGCTTGGATGTGAATCAACACGATGTCACATGGATATAATCCTCAGGCGTGTTTGCATCAAGGAAAATGTTCAGATTTAGACTCAGTTTTAGGCCTTTTCAACTTATTATTTGTGACCTCAGCGGAGATGAACCTGCATTGTCTTCCATGGTCAACAACCAACGGTGAACGTGCCCTCCGGCATTGTCAAAATATGTCAAGGTTGCTTCCGCATTGAAAATCTGATTTGCTATATGCCCAACCACATTGCTTTGACGTGCTCATCAGAGATCGCCAGTGTGGAACACTTGAAGACAGTGACAACACCATTGGATCCCGAAAGAGAAGACAACAACCTGTATAGCATTATATAAATATATATAAATCATATGGAATTTCCTAAAATGGCGGTACCCCCCTAGATCATCCAAAATTTGACCACTTTAGTATTGACACCTGTGGTTTTGGGAATCCACCATTTTAAGCAACGCCCGTATGATATGTTATATGTACCGCAGAGAAAAACAAAATTTGCTGTGATTGAAAGGCCGTCCTGGAGCCATGAAATTAGGATACGACCGTTGGACTTTGCAGCCGTTTCTTGCCCATCAGCCCGTTGGGACTAGGGAAGTACAAGCCATCAAATCTTTTAGCATGTTTTAGCCAAACAATTGAAACATATATGAAAAATGATGAAAAATGATGAAAATCACCTCAGATTTGGACTCATACACGTCATACAGAGTCATACATACGTATGCAAAGCATGCAAAACTCACCTCAACAAATCCGCACTCCCACATCCAAACCACCCCTATGCCCGCATCCACATTCACCTACACTGACCTACACCCCTAGTTACATCCATACCATGCACACACTGCACACACATCCAAACAAACAGCAACCCGTTAGGATTTCCGTGTTCAGCCAAAAAAAAACAAGGAAAAAACATTGGTCTCTTCGTCACACGTGCGAGTCCACCACACCTTCACTAACAATATGCAGCATATGCGGGGCCCTGACCCCTAGGCGAAATTGCGGTCAGGGAATCCAATCGTTTTGCTGGCTTTACATAGGGAGTGCTGGCCATGTCCCGGGCATGGCCATTGACCACACTGAGGCTGGGACTGGAAAACAACTCTTGCAAGAAAACCTGGATCTTTTTGCATTCATAAGTTTCTGTAAAGTCTCGGTTTTGTGCCTTCCAGGGTAACACTTTGGTAACTCTTTGGTAACACCTTGTTATAATAATTACTTATCAAACATTTGTTTGTTTGATTTGGTCTCATTTGTTTGTTGCACACTTTGTGCCTTCTGTGCTCGAAGGTTCCGACCCGCCCAGGATTATTTCCGGCATTGCAGCAGGGAAAGGTGCGACCTAAAGCCACCTAAAGCCAGCTATGTCATTGCTCAAGTGTATGATTTGAATCGAAAGTGCTCGTCTGAGAATTGATGAGTAAAATCATAACCAGCAACGATTGCCCTGTTGATGCAGGTGGATGATATCATGATCTTGAGGCCAAATACGGATATTTTGTGAGCTTCAGTGGCTTGAGTTTAAGAACGAAAACAAGTCAAAGTATGTCAAAGTGTTTGAATTCATGAAAGGTGCATCGACAAACTCCAGATATGGGATCCCGAGAGATTCGAGGCTTGAATGGTGAGGGTTTTTGGCGGAGAACATTGTTTTATTTCCAGAGGCTTTGCAGACTTTGCCTTCTCACTATCTTCTCACTATCTTCTCACTATCTTCTCACTATCTTCTCACTATCTTCTCACTTTTTCTTGTGAAGGTAGTTGCGACGCTACAGAGCTGCCCTCGAAATGCAGGGCACGTGCGTCTAGTACAGGAGCCTCCGCAAGTGCGCAGTCCAAAAATGCTTGGAGATCAATTCCTTTTGATCAAATTCAATCAAATTCATATCATTTATATATATATATAATTTTTTATTTTTACATATTTTTAAATTTGCTTCTGTCATAGCACATGGATCCTGCTCATTGAGCGGAGAACCCCGTGCAGGAGCGTTCTACAGGACGGCGGTTGGCTGTGAAAAGAATGCCATTGTCCTGGACGTGCCAGGCACAGAACACGGAGACATACGGGGTGTTGGCCATGAAAGGTCTGTGAAAACATGTGAACCGCTTGTGAACCTGAAGATGTTTAGTTGGAAACCGCGCATTGAAGAGCCAACTACGATCATACCTCATATGTAACGTCAGATCTGGTGGTCTAGTGCTCTGTGGCTTCTCTTGATTGTCAGGATGCAGATACCTTTAGATTCACATATCCAATGGAGACAGAGGCCGGATTAATGCAGTTTGTAGGGCTTTTGTAGCAATCAGCCACGACCCCTGTTTATTGGGAATGTGCTGCAGTTCCTGTTGTGTCGTCCTGGATGTGGATTCAAAGCATTAGTCTGACTGGAGGTGCCCTGGATGGACATGGCAGCAACCAGGCGCACTTGTTGAATGTGAGCTTCAGTCTGCAACACTGCTTTAGGGCGGATAGGGCGCTTGCAGTGTCACTGTTTTATCTGGCTGTTGACTCAGCCGTGTAAGCTGGTGGTATAGCTGTGCACGGCCTGCGTTTGCTGCCTCAACTTTTTTGGGTCTACCAGTCTACCCATCTGTAATTTGGGATTATGGTTCTGTCGTTGCCCACCTGCATTTTGTCATCTTCGGGTGGGAATGTAGCACTGAGTTTTTCGTTTTTTTTCGTAGTGTTCACTACAGACTAGCTCTGTTATGCTGAGTGCTAAGCGACACTTACATTCTCTGGACGATGTACTTTCCAGAAGATGAACTAGCAAACATTTCACGGGTAGACCCAACTCGCAAAGCGAAATCACAACACCAGCTGTTTTTCTCAGCACAAGAAAACCATTCTCCTGTGCCTCTAAGTCACGCTCAGTCACGCTCAGTCACGCGCAAGGTGGTTGAATCTGGTCGGCTTCAAGCACTGCGTAGACTTTGCAGGTGTTTTCCGTGACGAGGATTACATTGCCTTTGTCATGGGACTTGCCGAGGCTCGCACTTTCTCAGTCGAGTTGCCTTTGTTGCCTTTGCCAGCTGATTGCTATTGATTGCTCCAAAACAGCCGCAGGGAGGAGATCTCTTCTCCTTTGTTGATGCCATGGGTTTGCCAGGTGGGAATGTGGGAATGTGAAGAGAAGGTGAAACAGCTCTTGCATGCTCTTGCCATTTCATGCACTGCAAAGTCTAACTGTGAAGGCTTCAACTTTCAGAGTTGACTGGCAAGTGATATGAAATAAATTTCAAATAAAGTAATAGTATAAATAGTATAAGGACGGTATTCATATTTCATGTGTGAGTCTTGCTTCTGTCATTTCCTGAATCTTGTATTCTTGCCAGCTCCTGGTCCTGTACTTGAAGAAGCACTACAACCTATAGCGGTCTAGGGCTGAAGAGCTGCAACATTGCTGTGTGGCTTTTGCTGGGGGTATTCCCTTCACAGTGGCCAGTTCATCAGCGCAGTAATTTTTCCAGCATTTCTCCAGAGGGCAATAAAAAGATATTCAAAAAAGCTGTGGCACTGCAGGTCGAATTTCTGTTTGCAGTGGCTCGACTACATCGGCTGGGATCCAAGCATGTTTGTTGCCTGAGTCTTGCTTCACATGATCCGGTAGACATACAGTGACATACATGTCTACGTCATGTATTGTAGCTGACAAGGATAACTTCAAATATCTTTCTCTGGGCGCAACCGGTCATACAAGATGCATGTCGAGTCTTGCGTCTATTTTGTGTGTACTCTGCATATGTACGAATAAGCCCATACATGCAGTGCCTCTACGTATGAACATATGCAGACGTTTTCCAGAGACAATGCATACTACAAATGCATACCACACACATTCATAACGCCTTGATACGCCTTGCGTGCCACGTTCTTTGACGCATGAGTTCCTCGACGTGTGATGTCACTAGGCTGGGCCTTGCCCACAGAGGCGGACGGCTGTGGGCTGTGATGGGCTGTAGCTGTGGTAGCTGAAAACTGTTGAAATTGAGATGTTTCTGTGGTTTCTGATATCTTCTGACATCTTCTGATGTGCAGTGTAATTTTCGGTGCAACTTAGTGTATCCTTCCATGTGCTGATTTCAAGTTTCAAGAATTTCAAAAAGCCTTCGGCAAATCCACGACTTTCTGTCAGATCTCTCGCTAGAGAATGTGCTTCTGGCGAGCAAGAAGGCTGGAAATCAGTCTGTAATTCACATGCTGCCTGACAGTTATAAGAAGTCTGGCCTCTTTTCTGAGAGTTTACAGGGTGGGCCTATTTATCTCATCGACTACAGCATGGCAACCACTCAAAGATTTCATACAGGCTGGCGAATCTGGTGGGGTGTCAGGACAAAGACTGGATTCACATGTGAGTCGGAGGTATGGAATATGATTTGCACGCAAGTCAGTCCATTGTGACTCTGGATCCAACATTTGTATGTGAAGACAGGCTTATGCCCGGACAGTGTTTGTTTGTTTGCGCACTTTGTAGCCAGCCTTATCAGATCCTTTGAGATCCTTTAAGCAAGTTTAACACTACTGCTTCGCTAGGGCCGACGTGTGGCAAAGCTTCCTACATCGCTCCAGAGGCTTGAAGCTTTCTGCGAAATCTTGACAGAAAATCGCCAGCACCCCTAGGAAGTCGCTCTTTGGTCAACGTTTTTCAGAAATGCTGGAAAGAAATGAATACAAGTGTTGAATGCAGCCGCATGTGAGCAAACAACAAATTAGTGCAGATGTCACAAGGCAATATCCTTTGACAAAATGCCTTGTTTTTTGCAAGTAGTTTTCGTTTGTTTGTCTTCGATGTCTGCCAGATGCACCTCGGAAATGGTTACGACGCCTTCCAGGCCGGAATCCAGGTGACAAGGACCTGAACTTTGGCAGGTTTTGACAAACGACAAACCATTGACAAGCCTTGGAAAAAGTGAACCAAAGTGAACAAAATCCAGGTGAAGCACATGAATCAACTTTGATTCAATCTATCCCGTCCAGGCAGATGCATTTTCGTGCGGCGTCATTCTTTACGCATTGTTTGCAAAGGACTTTTGCTCCGCCTTGGACCTCAGGTTTCACTCAGCACATCAGACATTGTTCTGACAGGACTATCCTTGGATATCTACACGAGCGGGTGCTTGCAAGTGCTTCGAGTGCGCACAGAATCTTTTTGAATCCATGATTTAAAGAGAGGTGCTAACATTGCTAACCAGCAGTGCAGGCCATGCAGGCCATGCAGGCCATGCAGGCTGTCAGTTGCTTCCTGTGATTTGCGCTTGTAGGGATCGTCGAGTGCTGGGAGGTATGTTCGCAACCATGGCTTTCTGAAATTCATGAGCAAGCGACGTATCATAGTGGGCAATGAGAAGAAACCTGTGCAGCAGGCCAGAGCCCTGAACAAAGCACTGAACGATCTGAACGATCTGAACGATTTGCAGAAAACGGTTCTTCCACGTTCTTCCTTACACCATCTTACACCTCTATGTAAAGACTCTGCAGACTGGCAACTGAGAACAGAGAACTTATCAGTGTGATCGATTTATTCGTGGTGGAGACGAACATGAAATCAAGGTAAGACCTAGCCACTGTTTTCTTGTTCCAAGTTTTGAGCATGAGCTGGTGTGAGTCTCGTGCAAACAGATCTCTGAGCCTGTTCTGAGTTTTTCTGATAGCTCGATTATACACAGTCTTTGAGAGAGGCCAGTTGGACAGAAAGCTGCCTTGGTCAGTGTTGGTGTCAGCCGTGGCACCAGGTGATGTCCGCAGCTTTTGTGCATCTTCTCGACGGTTTACTCCGCTTTAACCCTGAGGAGCCGCATTGTTACACCATAGCAGCTGTAGATCCAACTGTGTGAGCAGTGGACGAGGATGATCTCAGGATGTGACTTAGCATTTTCATGTATATATACAAGAAATATAGATACATTGTTCATTTTAAAAGTGCTTGAGGATGTAGTCAGACTTTTCAGGGCTCCGTTTCTTTTTTCGATCTTGAATTTGAGATCCTACTTTTCATCGGAAAGGCAACTTGTTTTGCCCGCATATGCGGTCTGCATATGCGGTCTGCATATGCTGCATGTCTGCACCGGCCACTGTTTTAGGATCGTCTGGTGCTCCTTGAGGACCAACCAGGCAGAGAGCTTGGACAACACATTCGTTCCATGCTCATCCATTCTCTACTTCATTTGGCGGGTTGTCTTACATAGTAGCATTGATATAGTGACAGATAGATGTTTTAGTCTATATCATACTGTATATCTGTTCGAAAATAAGAGGATGCACAACTGGGATTGCCCTGTCAGATACATGATCTTGATTTTGAAAATGAGATGTTTCACCGCCATATCCACCGTGCAATAGATTTGAAGAGCTAATGAATGGCCGGTCTTGGCATCAAACTTTGTGATTAGACTTGTAGCAGGGATGTTCTTCAGAGGCCTTGGACTCTGCTAGCACATCTTCAAAAGCAAGGGGTGTATGTCCCGTCTACACAGGGGATCTTGTGAAACATTACCTCCGGAAGTCTTCCATGTTTCCAATTCAGACAATTTTTTACCAGGTTTTCTTTTTCTTGCCCTTGCTTCCTCAAAACAAGCTTTCTCTCAATGCAGTGATTCCTGTCTGGGGAGGGAAAGGAACGATCAGTGCCCCACATTTTCAACAAGACTTTTGAACTTAGGCCGGGGTGGCGGCAGCATTTGGGCTTGCAGCCTAGCTTTTTCCAGTTGGGACAGCCTCAAAGTGAACAGAACGAGGCTTGTTTTGAATCAACCCTAAGGCTCTACCGTGGTTGAAGCAGGCCAGAGACACCACCTGTCCATGTCCACTTGCAAGTCCTGCAAGTCTCCAACTGTACTTCTAGCACATTATTCAATGAAGATGAACGAACAAAGTAGGTTAGGCTCAGGGGCTGAGGTGTGTTTGGGAGCAAGGTATGCCAGTCAGCCTCAAAACTCAATGCTTCCTGCTTATGCTGTTAAAGCTAATGCACTGAATGTAGGCTCTGGAAAAGAGCCCTGATTTGGCCTCATGGCTACGAGAGGACTGCAAGACTTGTGAATTGGGTGATCCTCAAGCCAGTAAGTCTGTCTGCAGATTTGGCTTACAGGCAACACATAGACAGGTTGTGAAAGCTGCACAAATTTCAGCTCGCAGGAGCGAATCATTTGAACCTCAGTTGGCTGAGAGAGCCGGGTGATTTGCCCTCATCCTTTATAAATATGTTGCCTCACTTTGTGGGATGTGTTCTTTGCGTTTTGCAAAGCTTTCCCGCAGCACTGCTTGCTACGTTGGTTGTCTTTTGCTTCTGCTACTCTGCTCGCTTTGTGTAGTCCAAGCCATAAGCCCCTTTGGCAATGCACAGTTCCAAAGTTCCGCCTCCACTCCAATGGGGAGGAGGTTACGTCCGCACGTGGCAATGTACCACCTGGTAGACATGTTTCCACAGCACCGAATATTTGACATATTTATAAGCGAAAGCACTTTGCCAGCAGGGTATTTTACAAGAGCCTGTACTCCAAGCGCTTTTTCGCCCAATGAGCATGCGAAGTGCCGGAGTCTTGCATGAGCTACAGGCTCTGCTCTGCATGGTGGCAAGACATTTACATCGAATCATATCAGTGCTCCCAACCAGTATTATGACAAGATAGCCAGCACATTTCTCAAAGCAAGCCAGCAGGTAAAGAGTCTCATGAGTCAACTCGCGACAACTCCAACATCCACAGTCGTCACCAGGCACATGTGTAAGCTTGCCAAAATGAGGATGCCTAAGGCGTGATTGTTTGGAAGTAGGAAATGCTTGAAGAGCAACTCCTCACGTTCTAGGTTTATTATTAATATTTATTTATGGTTTATTTATCAATTTTTTGTTTGAGGACTCTCCTTCCATTTGATGGCATCCTTGGAGCACCTCTTGGCTGGGCAGGAAAACTGCCCGGTTTACACATATCTGGAATAAATACTGATTACGAAACATGCTTACCAATCGCACAAAAAAAACAATAAAACAGATATCAATTCATATGCTTGAAATCCATATTCTAAATATTTTTAAATTCACTATAAATCATAATAATTATTGAGAAATTAATACTATAAAAGATAACATTATTTGAATAGCCGATAAAATGAGTCGAAAATTACAATAGCGACAAATAGACATGGGATCTTTAAATTTATATATAAAAATATTCCTAAGCGAAAGACATAATTTTACACATAATTACGAAAGCCAGCTGTCAAGCATGGCGAAGTTGCTCATTGCGAACGAAGTGAGAATAGGGGGTCTGGGGGTGGTAGTCTCCAAACGGACCATTTTGAGGCACTTCCCCACCTAATTAGGGTGGCCATGGTGGTCGATTTTGAGGCTGATGTACCAGGTGGCAATTGGGTGACGGTGGGGTTCGATTCCCCCCTGGTCCGTCCTCCGACGTGCATTTGGGGTGAGTGGAATGGATGGTAAAAGGATGCAAAAATTGAGTCAAAGCATAACAGAACAATGGAAAAACTTGGAAAGAGTAATTAATGGAAAAAGAGAGGGAATGGAAGGATAAAATAAAGGGGACGGATTGGAGTTTCGGGGCAAGGTGTACGATGGGGAGAAGGTTGGAGGGACAAGAGCGTGGCTTGGGCGGGCTCTTTGGGGCGAGGCTCTATTGGGTGGCTGCTGGGAAGCAAAGGAGCCCACATAGTGAAGGTTGCCAATGGCTGCTGATGTTTGGGGGGGAGGTGCGTGGCTGGCGGTGCACATGGTTAGATTGGAGGGAAGAAAGGGCGTGGCTTGGGCAGGCAATGTGGAGTAAGGCTCTTTTAGGTAGCTGCTGGGAAGCAAAGGAGCCCGCGGGGTGAAGGTGGCAGATGGGTGCTGATGCCTGGCGGTGAGAGAGGAGTGTAAAGTGTAAGGTATGGAGTGTAGAGTGAAGAGCGTCGAGTGTAACGTGTAGTGTGTACAGTGTAGAGTGTGGAGTGTAAAGTGTAGAGTGTAAAGTGTAGTGTGTAAAGTGTAGAGTGTGGAGTGGAGTGTAAAGTCTAAAGTGGAAAGTGTAAAGTGTAGAGTGTAAAGTGTAGAGGGTGGAGTGTGGAGTGAGGGGTGCACAGTGGAAAGTGTAAGGTGTGGGAGTGTAGAGTGTCAAGTGTAGAGTTTAAAGTGTAGAGTGTGGAGTGCAAGTGTAGATTGTAAAGTGTACGTAAAGCGTAGCGTGTAGAGTGTGGAGCGTAAAGTGTAGCGTGTGGAGTGTGGAGTGTACAGTGTGGAGTATGGAGTGTAAAGTGTAAAGTGTAAAGTGTGGAGTGTAGAGTGTAAAGTGTAGAGTGTAAAGTCTAGTGTGTATAGTGTGGAGTGTGGAGTGTGGAGTGTAAAGTGTACAGTGTAGAGATGTGTAGAGTGTAAAGTGTAGAGCGTGGATTGTAAAGTGTGGAGTGTAAAGTGTGGAGTGTGGAGTGTAAGGTGTGCAGTGAGGAATGAGGAGTGTAAAGTGTAAAGTATGGAGCGTAGAGTGAAGAGCGTAGAGTGTAAAGTGTAGTGTGTAAAGTGTAGAGTGTGGAGTGTGGAGTGTCAAGTGTAGCGTGTAACGTGTAGTGTGTAAAGTGTAGAGTGTGGAGTGTATAGTGTGGAGTGTAAAGTGGGGAAGGTGGCGTGTAAAGTGTGGAGCGCGGAGTTGAGAGTGTAACGTGTAAAGTGTAAAGTGTAGCGTGGGAAGTGTTGAGTGTGGAGTGTGGAGCGTTTTGGTGTGTTTGTGTTTTGTCTGGGCGGCGGTGGCTGAAAACATGGACCATTTTGAGGCACTTCCCCACCTAATTGGGGTGGCCACCATGGTCGATTTTGGATCGATTTTGAGGCTAGTGTACCAGGTGGCAATTGGCTGACGGTGGGGTTTGATTCCCCCCTGATCCGTCCTCCGACATGCATCTAAAGCGAATGGAATGGACAGTAAAATGATGCAACCATGGACTCAAAGCATAAAGGAACAATGGAAAAACTAGAAAAGATTAATGGAAAAAAAGAAGGAATGGAAGGATAACATAAAGAGGACGGATTGGAGTTTCGGGGCAAGGTGTACGATGGGGAGAAGGTTGGAGGGACAAGAGCGTGGCTTGGGCGGGCTCTTTGGGGCGTGGCTCTATTGGGTGGCTGCTGGGAAGCAAAGGACCCCACATAGTGAAGGTTGCCGATGGCTGCTGATGTCTGGGGGGAGGTGCGTGGCTGACGGTGCACATGGTTAGATTGGAGGGAAGCAAGGGCGTGGTTTGGGGAGGCCATTTGGAGTGAGGCTCTTTTAGGTAGCTGCTGGGAAGCAAAGGAGCCCGCAGGGTGAAAGTTGCAGATGGGTGCTGATGCCTGGCGGTAGGAGAGGAGTATAAAGTGTAAAGTGTAAGGTATGGAGTGTAGAGTGAAGAGTGTCAAGTGTAAAGTGTAGTGTGTACAGTGTAGAGTGTAGAGTGTGGAGTGTAAAGTGTAGAGTGTAAAGTGTAGTGTGTAAAGTGTGCAGTGTGGAGTGTGGGGTGTAAAGTGTAAAGTGTAAAATGTAAAGTGTAAAGTATAGAGGGCGGAGTGTGGAGTGAAGGATGTACAGTGGCAAGTGTATATAAGGTGTGGAGTGTAGAGTGTAGAGTGTCAAGTGTAGTGTGTAAAGTGTAGAATATGGAGTATAAAGTGTGGAATATGGCGTGTCAAGTGTGCAGTGAGGAGTGAGGAGTGTAAAGTGTAACGTCTATAGTATGGAGTGTAGAGTGAAGAGTATAGAGTGTAAAGTGTAGTGTGTTAAGCGTAGAATGTGCGGTGTGGAGAATAAAGTGTAGAATTGTAAATTCTAATGTGTAAAGTATAAATTGTGGAGTGTGAAGTATAAAGAACATA